AGTGGAAGGTGTCCCTGCCTGTAGCAGGGGCGTTGGAACTGGATGAACTTCCAAGGTCCTTTCCAACCCAAAACAGGCTAGGATTCTATGACCCAGAGGCCAGAGTCATGGCAGAGGTGATTAGTCTTTCACATCAGCGTACACTTGAAATATGAAGGGAAAAGCAAATGAAAATCCTTTTAGCAGAAGCAAATTTACAGCTCGTCATGTAAAGCTTCAGATTGTTGTTCTTTGGTGCATCAGAGTTTCACATGCTAAACACAAGTCCAAAGGCTTGACTAACTTAGAGATACCGAAGAAAAAAATCCCAGTGATCAAAACCGGTGACGTTTTTGGTCTTTGTTTTGACCAATTTTTGCCTGTGCTGGCCACCTGAATTTCTTCCTGGCTCCTGGCAATTTGATGCACTCAGAAGGGTCCTGGGTGGCCCAGTTTAGACCCAAAGTATCTATTCCTGCATGGTACACCTGTACTGCGTTTGATTGTTGTTTGTTCTTTTGTGTTTGCAGATATAAGAAGGAAATATAACAAGTGGTTGGCTTAAAAGAAATCACATTGCCTTTATCAGCAGATTTATATCTTATTCTGTGGTAGTGGTATCATCATCACTCTTTCATATTAATGATATTAAAGTGATTCAGTTGCAGATTTAGAAATTAAACTCCTCTCCCCTTTTTCTAAGCCAAGATGATCAGATAAGCTGAATGCAAGCAAAAGCACGGCTTTCTGGGGTGTTTCTTTTGGGAGGAAAAACTAATGATGCCACCAGGTATTTTTAATGCAGTTCTGTTTATTTATAAACAACATAAAAAGTGGTTTATTTCTTTTTTTGATCTTAAAAGAATCAAACAATAAGAAATAATTTATTTGCTTCTAGCCTATGGTTTGATGGTTTCTCATACGAAGGTGATGCAGTCATACGAGACACAGCTTTGACCATTGCTGCTCTCCTTCATAAAGAGATTTGGAACACCGTATTTCATTGTTTATATTTGGACACTTGCCAGACATGAATGTCTCTTTGCATACTGCAGATCCCTTTAACGCTGCAGAGCCTGTCATGTTAACTCTACCATTGTAAAAGACCACTGCCAGCTCCTCTTACAGGAGAAGAGCTGCTATTATCTCCTTCTTGTCCACCACTGCAGGCTGTGTGGGACGAGAACCTTGTGAAGGACTGAAGTAATTTCATGGTGCCATGCTTGCCATAAGCTTTTCAACCCCAAGAGACAAGCATGAGGTGGTGCCAGCTTCCAGAGGAAGATAGTCACCCTCCCCTCAGTCACACTGAGAATGCCCAGCAAGTGCAGCAGACAGGTAGCAACAATGTAGACTGTAAGTTTGTATTGCTGCAAAGCAGCAACTCGGGGAACTACAGCCTCAGTCTCTCAGTAGGGGTTTTAGGGTGACTGATGATTGCAAAGGTGTTTGTAATGCACAGGCAGAACCTACTTAGTGCTGCATCTATTCCTCCCCTTTCCCAGGCAGCTTCTCCTGGCTGCATCCTACAGTCCTTCAGAGGTCCTTTGGCAACCTCTTCTCAGGATTCAGACTCCTTCCCCATAAAGGTGTATCTCCAGTTTGAGAATTGTTGCCAGGTATAATACAGCTTTCCTCCCAGTAGTTTTTCGAATCTGCCAAGACAAAGCATTGTGGTATTGCATTGGTTTGTATTTTGTGCAAAAGATTCTAGTGACATCAGAAGCTGTGTCCGTAGTTCAGCTCTGGTTCAAAGAACAGTGAGGCAAACTTCTACAGTTTCAGGTGTGAAAAATCTCTGCTCTTTCACCTTCCCTCTGTATTGGGCAGAGGATTTGGTTCTGCATTCATGGAAGGTGAAATGAATCATAATATGGAGGGCTGGAAGGCATCTTCAAAGACATCATCATTGTCAGCACTCTCATAAGCAGGCGGTGGAGTGAGTGGCTCCAGTGGTTCAAATGTGTCTGCAACACCTTTCACTTCATGGATGTCTGAAACAAACCGCTGCAGTCTTGGGGGCAGCACCAGTTGCAACTGCATCCTGGATCCTGTGTCTGTCTCAGAAGTGCACCTTGGGTCTGGTGCCACTGACACCCTGAGAGCCTCCACCATCATTTCTTCCTGGATGGATGATTCAATAACTACGTTGTAAGGAGGAGGCTCACTAAGTGGCGAGGGTACTAAGCTTGGATTGGATGCAATAGTCCATATTGCTGGAACTGACATGGTCATCACTTCCTCATACGTAGGTGCTTCATAGGCAGCGTTCACCCTATGTGCAAAAAGAGGAATGGCAGTTATAGTGATTATTTTACTGCTTAGTTTATGCAGAAGAAGGTAGTGCAGATAATATACTATTAGGACCAATCAATAGATAGGACTGAGACACTCTATCTCTCATGGGATTACTGTATGTGATATTCTGCCACTGGATCAGCTCAGTTGTACAGCTAACTTAATGTCTTGCTTCATGATCAGGAGAATGGCTCATCAGACCATTTCCCCACATTCTCCGGAATAAGTGAGGAAACCCACACTGTTCAATTCAGTGTCCTAGGTTTGGCTTGACGTCCCTCATGTTAAATCTTCTACCAGTTAAAATTTAGTATTGAGAATTACTACTAAGTATTTCTTGGAATAAAACAGGACCTTGCTTTTTTAATACGTGAGCTCAATGTTCATCTATTTTTATCAGGAAAAAAAACAAGTATTTTAATTTAGTTTAAACAAGGACTAATTATTTTATGTTAAGAAGAGTATCTGCAGAGAAAAATGTTATTTTAGAAACATTTTCCTTTTTAGGTCGTATTTTTAAATAAACATAGTAATTTTCTTCTAGTAAGTTCCCAAGCTAGCAAAGCCGAATATAGACTCCTTTTTGCATACTCTTTCTAAAAAGAAACACACAATAACATTTTGCTGTCTTACAAACTCTGTATTTGAGCATGTCAAGTCATTTATGGATGTGATAATGATTATCTGGATTATACAGACAAGGAAGCAAAGATACAAGTAAACTTACACTCTTCAACTACTGCAGGTAAATTGGGGTTAAATTAGATAACACTGAGAACCTGCAAATGTGCATGAAGCCAAAAAGATGTGGAAGAATTCAGAGCCTCTCAAACTCGGGGTTTATTAGTGTGCAATTGGGTGTTTAAGACTGGAAACACACCCAGTTACAGGTTCCTTTTTAAAAGTTTGCTGAGGAACAGTTGCTCTAGAGATAAGGTTTATAGAGCTAAACCCAGCTAAGATTCAGTATTGCCTCAGCAGTTTTTCTTTTTCCTTGTCTGACTCATTGTTTGGCAAGACTTAATTACGCAAAGAAATATAAAACTGCATCTGGATCTGTTTAACCTTGGAAATTGTTAGTGGATCAGTTCCTAGGGGGAAGAAAATACATATCGGACAGGATACAGCACATGCATGGCAGAGACATTTGCAACCTCCACCTGAAGAATGAAGGAAAATGACAGAAAAAGAACTTTAGTCTTCTGGAATAGAGTCTGTGTTTTGTGTCCTAGGAGAAGGACTGAGGAGAGAGAGTTAAAGTAAGAGGAATAACCAGGTTGTTGCTTACCCTGCTTGGCTTTGCCTGTTTGGAGGTATCTCGTTTGCGTCATGTCGCTGTTGATTCCTCAGGTAACACTCGACAAACATACTCAGCAAATAGCCAATCAGGCACACTCCCCCTACCCCTAGGAAGAAGTAGCCTACTGGATTGACATTAGATGAAATGGCCAGCATGGTGACCCCAATGAGAAGAGCAGCAGTGAAAAGAAGCAAGAAGGCTTGGCGGATGTTCTTCCAGTGTGTCTCTAACCACATGGTAGTACAGATGATGGTAGCAGACACTTGAAAACAGATGCGCAGTTAAGGGGACAGACATCTGTGGAAGATGGAATAGTTTTTTCAACATGAAACAGAAGTCATAAATATCATGACCAAAATAAGAACATACATACTCGAGTACATGCCATCATGAGAACATGCAGCTATGCACATACATAATATCCCGGGGAAATCCACACATAAATGCATGCCAGTGTAAATGTACTAGCATTTCCTATGTGAATGCATACTGAATAATGGGAGCATTTGAACACACAGACCTAAAATGCATAAACAGACCATGAGCACTTATTGCCCGGCTTATCTAAAAAGGACTAGCTTCTTAATAGAACTTAGAGCAGTCTAGGATGCAGATTTGTGGTTATTATGAAGGTGAAACACAGAATAACTTTAAAGGTTAATTCTAGGACATTTGTACATTGCATAGCAAACATTCAGATACTAGTTCAGATCCTGGAAAAAAAGTAGCCTTATTAATGGGGCTGTCTGCCCCAGTAAATACAACATGTAACTTCAGTGTAGCATTATAGCAATAACATTACTTTAGGTTCTAGATGCAGCTGGGGTATGTCTGGTTTAGCAAGACGTAGGCATGTGTTTGAATATTTGCCTATATCCTCAGTTCTTTTTGTGTTGATGTGCTTTTTTTGCACCATCCTCACACACAAGAGCCTCTCCTGTCCCCCATTCCAAACCCCATCTCTGGGAAGGAGACAGCACTTGCACTACATGCAGTCAATATGAAACACATGTCAGGGATCTCTGTATTCAACAATTTTTGTCTGTCATTTTGCATGTGTTATACTCACTTACATATATTGCACTATTTTCATGAAGACACTGCCAAGGACAAAAGCATGACACAATGGGCATTTTTTTATGAGCATGCATCTCCTAACAAATACAGTTTCCATGTTACGTTGTGTGCTTTTGCACACTAAGTGCGTTCCCCTGTTAGAGCATAAATAGATACATATAGAATACATACAAATGCCAGAAAAAGAACCACATTGTTTTTCAGCATATACTTACCAGAGGCAGGTTTCGGTAGGTAGAAACAGTCATGTTTTACCTTCTCTCTTCATCACAAGATAAAATGTGCAAGCATTTCTGTCCCTGCTCCTTGCCCTTCTGACCTGAGGATGGGACACTGGTGAAAACTCTCCCTCCTTTTGAGTTTTCTTGTAGGGAGACAATGAAGATTTCTTTTGAAACTAAAAGCCAGCCACTACTGAATGATGGGAAGATGCCGTCGTATGAGTTTTGAGTGGGAAACCTTGTTTTTCCAGGTTCTTAATCCAAAGCAATTTCTAGATGATCACATACCTTCTACTCTTTTGCAGCTCTTCTAGGTCTATCCCACAAAAGCAGGAAACTCCTGAGGAAAGAGGGCGGAGTGAGCAGTGGGGCAGTGCTTACCTGTGTCGGATCTGTTTGGTCTGCTTTACTTTAATGAGATAAACCGCCCTGAAAGCTATGTTCTTCCACCACCACCGCCCCACGCATCAGAGGAATCTTGATCTCTGCCTCACAAAGCAGGAAGGACTGCTGGCCCAGCCCACATCACATGGCCTGCACGTAAATCTATTTGTGAGTTCTGTAAAATGGAAATCTGTACATTTTTTGATCCTGATTGCGTGCTGTTTGTCACATGTTGTTTTATCCCCTGTTTGATTTTACGAAGGAGGCAATGGTTTATTATTTCAAAGAGGGATGAGTTTAAATCCTTTTTACTCCTTGATGTATCTGGGAATGAGAGGTACTGATAAGCAACAGAACAGGTACTGAATTACTTTGTGAAGTCTGTTACCATATGAATCTTTAGAATAGAATAGAATAGAATAGAGTAGAGTAGTGTAGAGTAAAGTAGAGTAGAGTAGAACAGAACAGAATAGAATAGAACAGAACAGAACTGAACAGAATAGAACTGAACAGAATAGAATAGAACTGAACAGGACATTCCAGTTGGAAGGGATCTACAACAATCATTTAGTCCAACCACCTGAACAATTCAGGGCTGTCCAAAACTTAAAGCATGTTGTTAAGGGCATTGTCCAAATGCTTCTTGAACACTGACAGACCTGGGGCATCAACACCTCTCTAGGATGCCTGCTCCAGGGTTTCACCACCCTCTCAGTAAAGAAATGCTTCCTAACGTCCAGTCTAAACCTCCCCCGGCATAGCTCTGAACCATTCCCATGCATCCAGGATGTCAGGGAGAAGAGATCAGTGCCTCCCTCTCCACTTCCCCTCCTCAGGAAGCTGTAGAAAGCAATGAGGTTCCTTTCAGCCACATTTTCTTGAAACAAGGCAGACCCAAAGTCCTTAGCCATTCCTTACAGGACATTCCTTCCAGCCCTTTCACCAGCTTTGTTGCCCTCCTCAGGGCACATTCAACCACAGCTGGGCAACTTGTCCAGAAGGATGCTGCCATAGTAATAGCCTTACTAAAATCCAGGAATTTCTACATCCACTGCCTTCCCTTCATCCACTGCTTGGGTGCCCTTATAAGATATAAGATATTAAATGAGCTAGGCAGGATTTTCCCTTTGTGAACCCATGGTGGCTGTGCCTGATGATTGCATTATTGTTTAAATGCCTTTCAGTAGTACCCAGTATAATCTTCTCCATAGTTTTTTCCAGGAACTGAGGTTAGACTCACAGGTCTGTAGTTCCCTGGGTCTTCCCTCATACTCTTTTTGAGGACTGGAATAACTAGTGAGTAGGGATCTCCCCAGACTTCCAAGACCTTTGGTAAATGATCGAGTTGAAGAAGATGGTTCTTCTTTCAGTCTCTAGGAAGCATTTCACCTTTCCCCTGTTTCATCTTGCTATCTACCCTAACTTCTGCCCAGACTGCTACTGATTAACTTAGTACCTACAGTAAGCTCACTTATCAGCTTGCTCTGCAGGGAAGCTTGCTTTATTCCTAAGGGCTTGTAATGTACATACCACGGAGCAATTAATCTCTCTGCAATCATTATGTCTAGTCTTCCCTATAACCTTGTCCTGAAGCAATTTCTAAGAGTCTGAGCAAGTACTGGGGACAAAGTGCTACTGAATCACCTTTCCCTTTGTTGTCTACCTCTGCTTTTTCCTCCTAAGATTCAGCTTAGTCACCTTTGTGAAATATGACGTGGATTGAGCTATGGTTGCTATGTTTCTGGTCAAGTCTAATGTCTTGAAAAGGAGAAATCAAAACCCAAGGGAAGTTATGCCTATGCTCAGATGTTTAAAAAACAGTGTGTAACTTTGGGAAATGCAGTTGTGCTTGACCTGCCATAGTAGAATGTTCACAGATTTCCTGGGAGCTGGCAATCTCTTTTTGTCTTCCAACTTATTCCAGTTCTTACAGGACAATAGTTGAAAGTTATCATATGCATAGTCACTGTATGGTTGGGGTTTTTTGGCATGGCTGCTTTCTACCTGCAGTGGCTTTTTGCTGTGTACTGAGGTTGAGATGTGGTCACAGAAGGATTGATACTGCAAAGATAGCTTCTACTGCTGCAACTAGTTCCTCAGCTGTCACTGGGATAGCTAAAAAATGTAAATCTACAGAGACTGAGTCAGAGACACTTGTTATGTTGTGCACAACTAATGGATTTCTCTTTCCTGAAAGAGGGGAGTCACATTTAATGTGACAAGTGCTTCCAAAGCTGGCTGCACACCTGAAGTCCCTAAGTACTTAAAACTGATAAAGCAGAGCCTCTGCTTCTGCCATGAGAAGGATGGCTAAGTAACAAGCATCTAAAAAGTATATGATATATGAGGGTTTTTATCTCCTCTTACAGCCTTTTAAATTCATTTACATCATGTTTTGCTTAATCTTTTTATTCTGAGTTCTCCTTAGGGCCTGGGCTTTAAAACTGAGAGGTTTCATTAGCATCAGTAAAGCTTTCTGCAGCTGGCTTAGTTTAATGACAGAGTTCAATCTGGTATGTATTATTTACTTTTTGTTGGAGGACCTTCTATACTTGTGTAGAAACTCTGCACATTGCAGTACTTCTGCTGATGAAAAATCAGTTGTTACTGTACATAGGATTAAAATTGGCAGTATGCACTCTAGTGAAAGAATTCACCCATGCGATTATAATGCTATTAAATGGAAAACTACAGTGACTACTCATGGTTTTGCTAATTTAGAGCTCCTAATGTGGATCAGAAAGAGGACTAGATGACTGTGGCTAAAGGTGAAGAAGGAGAGCAGTTAAGATCTTACTGCTAGAACATGGTGAAAGAATCAAGTGGAATACCCACTGCAGAAAGAACAAGTGAGCAGAAAGAAACAGTTGCAAGATGAAATTAAGGAATCAATTGAGGATAGTTGAAAGAACACAGGAAGATCATATGCTGTCATTCTAGACTTTACAAGGTGTTTCTGGAAATAAGAGAAAATAAGACCTGTATATGCTGAGCTGCTTTACTGTGGAACAGTACAGCCAAAGGACATGAGAGGCAGTGAGAAAAGTTAATGTGTAATTGCCACAGAATTCCCATTGCCTATCTTCCTCCCTGGTCCTAGTGACATATTCTTGCTGCTTATATTGCCAAACCTGTTACGCACTGGACCCCTCCCTGACATGTTCTAATTGTTAACAAGGCATAAAATTAACCAGTAAAAAGGGAAAAAAATTCTATCTTCTGTTGGGTTAGTAAACTAACAGTCACAAAAGCATATAGGAAACACCAGTATGGCCACAAGTGTGGAAGGCCAGAGAGAGAGAACTTGGTAAGAAAAGAAATAGGAAAGAAAAAAGTTAGTAAAATCTATTTCAATGAAGGCAATTTTTGCTTGAAAACTCCATCTATAACAGTGATCCTTTTTATTTTTTTCTTCTTCATTATATATTCTCTGTTCAACCACAACACTGTTTTACCACTAGTTTTCACTGTGCTTTGCTCCAGCCATGTGCCATAAAGGCAGCATATCTCAGAGAGGAAGCTTGATGTGGTTCCTTTTTCTACCTTAGGAAAAA